CTGAGCGATTATAGAGACAGCGTTTCGTTGTTTGACCACACGCCTGGAGCCTCTCTCGCCCCTCCCGCTACAGCTGACAGTGCGACTCGCTCAAAGTGGCTTACCCATGACGCTGCTGCTCGCTTAGCCGTTCGCAACCACCTGCCGTTAGCCGAACGCGCTCATTTCGGACAGCACAAGACTGCTAAAGCACTCTACGACGCTGTAGTCGCCCGTCACTCCTCCCCTGCCACTGCTGCTCTAGGCCGTCTTCTACTGCCCTACCTGTTTCCCGAGCTGTCCGCCTTTGACACGGTAGATGACCTCGTTACCCACCTTCGCACTAGTGACGCTCGCTACCGCGCTGCCCTCCCAGCAGAGTTCCTTGGCAGGAACCCGCCCCCAATGTACATCACTCTCTACTTCATAATCACCTGCCTCCCTGACTCTCTTCGCGCTGTTAGGGACCACTTTCTCGCACTTGACCCCACAGACCTCACTGTCGACCTGCTCGAGCAGCACCTCCTTGCAGATGAGACTAGCGTAGTCACTGTAGGTGCCGCTCGTGGCACTCCTTGCGCGCCCTTTTTTGAGGGGTGTCCCCCCTCCCCCCTTGTCCCCTCCTACGCTTCTGCTGCTGCTGTTGACATCCTTGGTGCTGCGGATGTCGGGGCTGCTTCTGCTGTTAGTGGGAAGCGCCGCAGCAGCAAAGGCAAGGGTGGCAGGGGTGGTGGCGGTGGCAGCGGGGGTGGTAGTGGGGGTGGCAATGGAGGTGGTGGAGGTAGCGGAGGTGCTGGCAGGAGTGGGGGCTTTGGTGGCGGTAGTGGTGCAGGCGGTGGGGGTGGCGGTAGTGGCAGCAGTGGCAGTGGTGGCAGTCGGGGTGGAGCTGTTCAGAGGGGAGGTTCTGGCGGTGGCCAGAGGAAGCAGCAGCAACGTCAGAGAGAGACCCCTTCGCCCCAGCAGCTTCGTGAGTGGTTTGCTCAGCGTGGGGCGTCTGGGGGTAGTGTTACCTTCCCGTATGTCATTCGCACGGGTGATTGTGCTGGTCAGACATGCGGGAAGCCTCACACTCAGCACCGCTGCTTCTCCCGCCTAGACGACGCTGGGCGGGCAGAGTTTGGTGACGAGGCTGAGCACCCCGGCTGGGCAGAGCTGCTTAGGTCTGGAGTTGATATCTTTGCTGTTGACAATGATGCTATCCTTGCTGCTATGTATGCCTTGTCTGTTCGTGCTGAGGGTGACTGTTACCTCTGTGTGCCACCCGACCCAGGTATAGAGGCTGCTGCTCTAGGTGCTAGTGAGTCTGTTCTCCCTGGTACTGCGCCTGCTGCGGCCTTGCACACCTTATTGCTAGACTCAGGTGCTTCCCGCTGTTTCTTTCGCGACAGTAACACCCTCACTCCTCTCTCTGCACCTGTACCGGTCAGACTGGGTGACCCCTCAGGGGGCCCGGTGTTTGCCCGTTCCTCCACTGTTCTCCCGTGTCCGGCGGTTCCGTCCGGCTCACTCTCAGGTCTTCACCTCCCCTCGTTCTCTACAAACTTGGTGAGTACCACTGCCCTCCAGGATGCGATGGTCACTACCACCACTCGTGGGGGTCAGCGTGTGTCGATCTGCACGTGTACACGGCCGGGCCGTCACCTGGCCGCGTTCACCCGTCGGCCTGGGTCCAGTCTGTACACACTGACTACCGAGCCTCCTCAGGTAGCTGCGTCTGCCCACGTGTCCGCGTCAGGTCCGGTAGCACCCCCTTGCTCGTGTCGCCTCCTGTCGCACCAGACTCTCCTGTGGCACCACCACCACACGAAGGCGTGTGCATGGACGTGTGGGGCCCAGCCCGCGTGAGTGGACAGGACCGCGAGCGACACTTCTTGCTGGTTGTTGACGACTACACGCGTTACACCACGGTCTTCCCCCTGCGCAGCAAGAGTGCGGTCCATGATGTCTTGATCCCTTGGATCCATGCAGTCCGTCTCCAGCTTCGCGAGCGGTTCAGCGAGGACCTTCCTGTCCTCGACTGCACTCTGACAGAGGTGGTGAGTTCTCCTCCAACCTCTTGCGGGAATTTTGTCGTCGGGAGGGCATCCTCCAGTCGTTCACGCTTCCAGCCTCCTCGCAACAAAATGGGATTACTAAGCGCCGCATTGGCTTAGTCATGGAGGTGGCTCGTACCTCCATGATCCATGCGGCTGCTCCCCATTTTTTGTGGCCGTTTGCGGTCCGGTACGCTGCGCATTTGCTCAACCTCTGGCCCCGTGTCTCCTTGCTGGAGACCTCGCCTACACTGCGTTGGACGGGGAAGGTTGGCGATGCGTCGGTGTTCCGGGTCTGGGGCTCTCGTGCCTTTGTTCACGATCCTTACGCGGACAAGCTCTCCTCCCGCACTATTCCCTGCGTCTTCCTTGGCTTTCCCCCTGACGCGCCTGGCTGACAGTTTTACCACCCCACCTCGCGCCGTGTCCTCCCCTCTCAGGACGTCACGTTTGACGAGTCGGTTCCCTTTTACCGTCTCTTCCCCTACCGCACTGCCCCTCTCCCCCCCCCGCTGCTCTTCCTTGCTCCAGGTCCCCCTTCGGTAGATCCCCTCCCCCCTCATGGTCCTGCTCCCTCAGGTGTGTCTCACGTAGACCCACTCCCCGGACTGTGCCTGTTGAGGTCGCTGTAGACTCAGGTGCTGCTAGAGGTGCTGCTTCTGGGGCTGCTGCGTCTGGGGGTGTTGCGTCTAGGGGTGTTGAGCCTGCGAGTGCGGAGCCTGGGGGTCCTGAGCCTAGGGGGGCGGAGCCTGGGGGTGCTGAGCCTGGGGGTGCGGAGCCTGGGGGTGCTGAGTCTGAGGGTGCGGCGTCTGGGGGTGCTGAGCCTGGGGGTGCGGAGCGTGGGGGTATTGAGCCTGAGGGTGCGGAGCGTGGGGGTGTTGAGTCTGAGGGTGCGGAGTCTGGGGGTGCTGAGCCTAGGGGTACTGCGTCTGCTGGAGGTCCTGCGGGTGCCTTGCCACGATTGTCTCCTCGGCAGGAGCCTCTCTCACCGCAGCAGCTGCGCGAGTGGTTTTCTCAGTGCACACGCCTTAGGAGTGGAGCTGCAGGAGCTGGAGGCTTTGCTACTGGAGGCACTGGAGCTGGAGGTGCTAGAGCTACTAGTCTTGGAGGTGTTGGAGTTACTGCTGGAGCTAGAGCTGGAGCACCCCCAGGCTCCTCACCCCTAGGCTCAGCACCCTCAGACCCAACACCCTCAGACTCCGCAACCCCCAGCTCCGCACCCCCAGACGCAGCACCTCGAGCAGCACCCGAGCCGACAGCTACCTCAACAGGCGTAGTACCAGCGAGAGGGTCTACCTGAGACACATCTGAGGGAGCAGGACCCTTCGGGGGGAGGGGGTCTACCGGAGGGGGACCTGGAGCAAGGAAGAGCGGCGGGGGCGGTGGAGGGGCAGAGTGGTAGGGGAAGAGATGGTAAAAGGGAACCGACTCGTCAAACGTGACATCCTGAGAGGGGAAGACACGGCGCGAGGTGGGGTGGTAAAACTACCAGCCAGGCGTGTCAGGGGTAAAGCCAAGGAAGATGCAGGGAATAGCGCGGGCGGAGAGCTTGTCCGTGGACGTATCGTGAACAAAGGCACGAGAACCCCAGACCCAGAACACCGACGCATCGCCAACCTTCCCCGTCCAACGCAGTGTAGGCGAGGTCTCCGGCAAGGAGACACGGGGCAAGAGGTTGAGCTGATGCGCAGCGTACCGGACCGCAAACGGCCAAAGAAAATGGGGAGCAGCCGCATGGATCATGGAGGTACGAGCCACCTCCATGACTAAGCCAATGCGGCGCTCAGCATTCCCATTTTGCTGAGGGGAGTCCGGAAGCGTGAACGACTGGAGAATGCCCTCCCCACGACAAAAGTCCCGTAAGAGGCCGGAGGAGAACTCACCACCTCTGTCAGAGTGCAGACGTAGGACAGGAAGGTCCGCATAGAACCGCTCGCGGAGCTGGAGACGGACTGCGCGGATCCAAGGGATCAAGACATCAACGACCTGAACCTTGCTCCGCAAGGGGAAGACCGTGGTGTACCGCGTGTAGTCGTCAACAATCAGCAGAAAGTAGCGCTCGCGGCCCTGTCCACTGACGCGGGCTGGGCCCCACATGTCCATGTGGAGAGTCTGCAGGGGAGCAGTCGTCGAGGGAAACGAGGAGGAGTGAGGAGCGGCACGCTGCCGCCCCTCGACGCAAGGAAGGCAGGGTGGGGCAGGCGAGGGCGGGAGGGGAGGCAGAGACCTGGGAAGACCAGAGACAAGGAGACGGGAGTGCATGCCACGAAGGCGTGGCAGGGAGGGGTGACCAATGCGGTGGTGCCACAGAAGAGTCTGGTGCGACAGGAGGCAACACTAGCAAGGGGGTGCTACCTGACCTAATGCGGACACCTGAGCAAACGCAGCTACCTATGGAGGCTCGGTAGCCAGTGTGTACAGACTCGACCCTGGCCGATGAGTGAACGTGGCCAGGTGACGGCCTGTCCGTGTACACGTGCAGATCGACACACGCTGACCCCCAGGAGTGGTGGTAGTGACCATCGCATCCTGGAGGGCAGCGGTACTCACCAAGTTCGTAGAGAACTAGGGGAAGTGAAGACCTGATAGTGAGCCGGACGGAACCGCCAGACACGGGAGGACAGTGGAGGAACGGGCCACGACCGGTCCCCCGGAGGGGTCAGCCAGTCTGACCGGGACAGGTGCAGGGAGAGGAGTGAGAGTGGTGCTGTCACGAAAGAAATAGCACGAGGCACCTTAGTCTAGCGTGAAGGTGTGCAAGGCCTCAGTAGGCGCAGTACTAGGGAGAACAGACTCACTAGCACCTAGAGCAACAGCGTCTATACCTAGGTCAGGCAGCACACACCGGTAACAGACACCCTCAGCACTAGCAGACAAAGCATACATAGCAGAAAGAATAGCATCATAGTCTAGGTCAAAGATCGCAACACCAGACCTAAGTAGTTCTGCCCAGTGGGGGCGCTCGACCTCGTCACCAAACTCAGCTCGCTAAGCGTCGTCAAGACAGGAGAAGCAGCGGTGCTGAGAGTGAAACTTCCCGCATGTCTGACCAGCACGGTCACCCGTGCGAATGACATACGGGCAGCTCACACTACCCCCAGACGCCCCACGCTGAAACAACCACCCACGAAGCTGCTGGGGCGAAGGGGTCTCGCTCCGGCGCTGCTGCCGCTGCCGCTGGCCTCCTCCAGAACCTCCACGCTGAGCTCCAGTCCTACCGCCACTACTGCCACCGCTGCCACTACCGCCACTCCCACCGCTGCCTCCACCGCCGCCACCAACGCCCCCACTCCCTCCACCACTCCCACCATTGCCACCACCTCCACTGCCGCCACTGCCTCCCTTGCTGCCCCCACCACCACTCCTGCTGCCCCCTCCACCACCCCTGCCACCCCTGCCCTTGCTGCTGCAGCGCTTCGCACTAGCAGAAGCAGCCCCGACATCCTCAGTACTAAGGACGTCAACAGCAGCAGCAGAGGCGTAGGAGGGGGCAAGGGGGGAGGGGGAGCACCTCTCAAAAAAGGGCGTGCGCGGAGTGCCACGAGGAGCACCTACAGCTACTGCACTAGTCTCAGCTGCAAGGAGGTGCTGCTCGAGTAGGTCAACAGTGAGGGAGGTGGGGTCAAGGGAGAGGAAGTGGTCCCTGATAGAGCGCAGAGATTCAGGGAGGCGGGTGACTATAAAGTAGAGAGTGATGTACATCGGGGGTGGGTTCCTGTCAAGGAACTCTGCTGAGAGGGCAGCGCGGTAGCGAGCGTCGCTAGCGCGAAGGTGGGAAACCAGGTCCTCGACTGTCGCTTGGGCGGATAGCTCGTGGAACAGGTAGGGCAGGAGGAGGCGGCCTAGAGCAGCAGTGGCAGGCAAGGAGTAGCGAGCGACTACAACGTCGTACAGTGTCTGCGCTGTCCTATGCTGTTCGAAGTGAGCGCATTCGGCCAACTGGAGTGTTATAATCACAATAGGCTTGAATGTGCCTAAAACGAAAGATAGAGAGCACAGACGGATTTCTGCATAGCGACTTCAAACGTTGATAGCGTTCTGCTCACAGCTGCAAATGACTTGATTCAAATTGGATCTGGAGCGTCTTCACATCGTCTACAATTATCAATTTAGATTGCACGATTTGATAAAGAATTGACGACACAGCGTCAGTTTGAACGAACGGTACTATGGCAGCCACTATAGTCTTAGAACACAAGATAGGAAGAGTTACGAGTTGGGAATGACTCCCAGCTCCTACAAACCCCAAGAGCCGAGGTACAGTGATGTGGAACAGTGCCACACTGTCCCCAACCACGAAGGGTCTCGAAACTACCCTTCACTAGGGCCTACACCAAGTGAAATGTTACACTACACAAAGTAATGTAACTATCTTCAATATCTTGAGGTGTACCCTTTTGGCGAGCTTCGAAATCACTTGAGGCTTGACACCAAGGCTCGGGCTCTTCATCACAAACTCATCCTTGAGTTCTTGATGGGTCTGCTGCACACACCTGCAACACGCCGAACGTTCGACACAGGACAAAATAGAAACCGCGCACGACAAAATAGAAACCGCGCGCGAGACACAAACGACCGCGTAACACGCGTCTAGCGATAACTCGCTATTGACTCGACACACACACTCGACATCATGACTCAACATTCACACACAATTATAAGCATGAAATATATATTATCCCATGCCCTCATACCATTCCATATACACACACATTCACGCACACGGACAACAAGCCGAGTGCAAACCGTAGGGTTGCACCAACAAACTCCCCCTCGGATTGTTGGCCTTAGGATATGTTGCTCTCTCAGTTCAGAGCCATTCCAGCCAGCTTGCAACACTTCCAATGCTGCTGCTCCACCAGCCTCTTGGTCATCATGTCAGCCGGCTGCCCCGTGGTCTTCACGTAGCGCAACTCAACTTCACCCGCGGTTACCATGCTCCTCGTCCAATGCCACTTCACCCTCATGTGCTTCGTGAGTCCATGCAACACAGGGTTCTTAGCAAGAGCAATGGCACCCTGGCTGTCACAGTACAGTGGGGTAGGTCCTTGCTGCTCCTCCCCCAATTCAGCCAACAAACGCCGCTGCCACACAATCTCCCGTACGGCACGGAAGAGTGCCATGTACTCGGACTCCACCGAGCTCAAAGCTTGGTCAACCTGCTTCTTGCTCTCCCAAGCAGTTGGGCCTCCACCAACACAGCATATGAAGCCTCCCACACTTGTCATGTCCTCTGGTTCTGATGCATATGAAGCATCCGAGTAGGCGGTGAGGAACAAACGCCCGAGTTCAACACCATCCGCGCCCTTTTGGCGCCTTTGTGCCGCCGCCGAGTATTGCAGCCCAACGGTCGGTGTTTGGCCAAGATACTTGGCCACCCTCATTCCAGCTGCTACCTGCTCCTCATTAGGGCATTGCACAACCCTAGCCAGCTGCCCGGTAGCAAACGCGACGTCCGGTCGGGTGTTTACCGCCGCATACATGAGGCTGCCCACCAACGAGTGAAATCGGCGCCTCTCCTCTTCACCAACGCTCTCCTCCTCTGGTCCCTTCACACACTTGAACCCAGAGGGAAAGGGTGTAGCCACATGGCCTTCACTCTGCCCAAAGTTGGCAGCCAATGCCTCCAGGTACTTTCGTTGATGCACCCGCATGCACCGCTTCTCCACATCTCGTTCGATGTGGAGCCCAAGGTAGAAGCTCACGTCACCAAGGGCCTTGCACTTGAACTTGTCTTGAAGCTTCAGCATCACCTCCTTCACAAGGTCAGAAGAGGGTGAGAAAATGAGGATGTCATCCACATAAACCACCATGAAACTCCTCTGCTCCCCCTCGCCAAGCATGAACAAGGAGTGATCGGCCGTTGAGGGAGTGAAGCCGATCCCCTCCAACACTTCGCGCAGCTTCATGTACCATTGCCTAGGGGCCTGATTCAGCCCATAGAGGGCCTTCTTCAGCTTCCACACTCTGCCACTACCATCATCAAACCCCTCTGGCTGCGCCATAAAAATCTCCTCCTCAAGGATGCCGTTAAGGAATGCCGTTACGATGTCCATTTGCTTTACTACCCATCCTTTGATGGCGGCTCCCGCGAATAGGGTTCGCAGTGTCGTCGGCTTCACCACAGGGGCAAACAGCTCCTTGAAGTCCACCTTCTCCTTCTGCTGGTACCCCTTGGCTACAAGCCTAGACTTGTAGCGCTCGATCTTGCCGTCGGCATCCGACTTGATTTTGAAGAGCCACTTGGACGTTATCGCCGTACGCCCCTCCGGTAGCTCCACCAATTCAAACGTGTCATTCTCCTCGATGCTCTTCAGCTCACTCTCCATGGCCTTCTTCCACTCCTCAGCATCACTACTCTCTAAAGCCTCCTTGAGAGTTGCTGGTTCTCCCGGCATCTCCACCGGAGAGAAGAACGCGAAGGCACACTCCTCGTAGTCACTCTCCTCGTCGTCTCCGACCATCATTGCCGCTCCGGCCAGGGCTGTCTTGCCCTGCTTTCCCGGCGCATCATAGGTCAGCCTATTAGGGGGTTGAACTCTCCTCTTCCCCCTTCCTTCCTCCTCAGCTGCAGGGACTTGAAGGCCTTGGCGTTGCTGCGGTGTGGCTCGAATCCGTGGAGCACTCGTAGTACGGGAAGGAAGTGACGGTGCACGCTCGCTCACTTGCTGCACCTCCTCCTCTTCTTCCTCTGCATCATTGGCCTCCTCTCCCCCATTCACAAGGGAGGATTGCCTTGTGGTTGTGCTGCCGCTGCTCAGTTCCAAAGGCAGCTCCACATGCTCCAAACCGGAACTCTTCACCTCCCCAAACCGCACGCCTATCTTCGCCTAATTCTCCGCCTTCCAATCCTTGTACATGAAGTTCTCCATGAACTTGCAGTCCCTGCTCACCAAGAACTTCTTGGTGAATGGGTCCCAAAGAAGCCATCCCTTGCTGTTTTGAGCCATGCCCAAGTGCACGGCCCACACCGCCTTGGCACCAAGCTTGTTGTGCCGAAGATGCTTAGGCACGAGCGCCATGCACATGCACCCGAACACCCGAAGCATATCCACCTTTGGCTTCCTTCCTAGCCACTCCACATAGGGCACCCATTTGTCTGCTCCCACATGAGTCAAGGCTCTGTTCTTGGCCACACACGCGCTCCGCACCGCATCAGGCCAGAAATAGTCGGGTAGCCCGGCTTCAATGAGCAACCCGCGTGCCGCCTCCGTGATTGTGCGGTTCGCTCGCTCGGCGATGCCGTTCATTGCAGGGGAGTATGGCATGGTGAGGGAGTGCCGAATACCATTCTTCTTCAGCCACAACCCAAACTCCTTGCTCAGGAACTCTCCCCCTCGATCGGTGCGGATTGACTTGACTAGACGGTCTTGTTGCCGCTCCACCATCGGGAACCAATCCGTCTTCAACGTTTCAGCCACGTCGCTCTTCTTGGCCAGCACGTACACCCAAGTCATGCGGGTGTAGACGTCGACAATGGTGAGAAAATACTCAGCTCCAGCAGCTCCAAGCTTCAGGGGGCCCACCACGTCTCTCACCACCTCATCAAGCGGTGCCTTTGCCGTTGCCTCCGAACTAGGGAACGGAAACCGGGTGAACTTGGCTTGAATGCACGTCGGGCAGCCAAGCACCTCATCGGGCTCCCCCTTCACACGTATGCCAGCAACCATCTCATTCTTCACTAGCTGCTGCAAGATGGGCAGGGCCACATGCCCCATGCGCCGATGCAAGGTGAGCCAATCACACTCCCCCGTAGCCGAAGTTGGATTGGAGAATGCCGCGCTCGCAATAGCGCCCCACATACTCTCTCCGTAGTCCTCCTCCGCTGCTGCCTCTGGGTTCTCCTCACCCTTTTGCTGCTCCTTGGTTGCTGCACCACTCTCCTTAGGTTCACTGAACTTGCTGGTCCCTCCAGGTTTGCTCTTCTTGAGCTCATTCTCCTTAGCGCGACCGTTCGCGCCATCGTCGCTACCGACCGCTCCATCCTTGGTGCTGATGCTTGCTGCCACTTGCCTCTCCTTAGGCATAGGGACCACTGGGATCTGCCACATCTCGTTGTAGACATCCCTGTCCTCATGAAGGTCCCAAAGAATTCGATCGCCAAGCCTTGCGGTGTAGGTCTTGGCTCCCTTCGAGTTCGTGTCCATGCCGGCCTTTGCCAACCGCCGCACGGAAATCAGGTTTGCAGCAAGGCTGGGCACCCAAAGCACGTTCTTGAGGCCCACCATCTTCCCATCAGCACCCTTGAACATGGCCTTGCCCATGCCTTTCACCTCTGCTCGCTGCCCCAAAGCCGATGTGACATGCTTCACCGGTGACGGCTCGAGTTCGGTGAGCAAGTCCGGGCGAGGTGTCATGCTATAGGTAGCGCCACTATCAATCACCCAATAGTCCAGGGGGTGTAGGGTCACCTTCCCCACAGCTGCTGGCTCCTCAAAGCCTTCATCCTTCTCTGGACCAGCCGGTACTTGCGTCGACACGAAGTAGAATAGACCCGGGTATCGATCGTCGCTCGGGTCCTTGTCGTTGTCTCCGCTCTTCATGTTTGCAGCTCCGCCACCGCGACCGCCACGGCCTCCACGGCCTCGTCCTCTCCCTCCTCCTGCTCCTCTACCCTCTTGGCCTTGAGCAGGGGTCCAACCATCAGGGAGTTTGTAGCAGTCGCGCCACATGTGTCCGCTCTTGTGGCAATAGTGACACTCGCCGTCGAATCGGCCGCGACCGCGTCCGTAGCTCTTGTCGTCGCTGCCGTAACCGCCACTCCTGCGGCCTCCGCCGAAGTTGCTGCCACCAAACCTTCCTCCCCCTCGTCCTCTGCCTCTTCCTCGACCATATCCACGGCCGATGCTCGCTGCCCCAGCGCCATCCGCACTCGCCAACTCACGGCGGCGGAAATCCTCTTGAAGGATAGCTCGCTTCACGTCTTCAAGCGAGAGGCGGGGCAAGTCGCGATTAAGGTTGATGATGAGCGAGGACCATGACTCTGGGAGTAAGGCCAGCAACTTGGTCTTCTTTTGGAGCTTACTGTAGTTCAAATCAGCTCCCTCAAGCCGCGTCAACAAGTCGAAGAATTTCTGCACCCCTTCTTCAACCGCTTCGTTTTCTTCAATTCGTAGTGCCGCCATTTGCCGTTCCAACACCACCGCTACCGCCGCTGTTGCAGGAGCATGTACACCCTTGAGAGCAGCCCATGCCTTTGGTCCTTTCTCTGGTTCACGCTGGAATGGCTTGATGTGACGGATCTGACTGCTCCCCAACGCTTGCCCAAGTAAGAGATAGCCTTGTGCGCTCTTCCGCACCCACGGGCTCTTCTCCGGGTCGTTCTCGGGGCGCTTCTCCGTTCCTTCCATCACCTCCAGCAGGTCATAGTGGTCAAAGATGTTCTCCATCTTGAAGGACCATTCAGCAAAGTTGTCACCGTTGAACTTGTCAAGCCCAAACACCCTAGGCTCATCCCTAGGTGGGCCAAGTCTTGGTTGCATGGGCGCCATGGCTGAATCACGGGGTTGGCCTTGAGCTTGAGCTTCTCCAATGCCACCAGCACCTCTGCCACCCCTTTCCTCAGGTCCAGACATTGTCGAAACTGCTCCAAGGGGCTCTGATACCACTTGTTATAGTCACAATAGGCTTGAATGTGCCTAAAACGAAAGATAGAGAGCACAGACGGATTTCTGCACAGCGGCTTCAAACGTTGATAGCGTTCTGCTCACAGCTGCAAATGACTTGATTCAAATTGGATCTGGAGCGTCTTCACGTCGTCTACAATTATCAATTTAGATTGCACGATTTGATAAAGAATTGACGACACAGCGTCGGTTTGAACGAACGGTACTATGGCAGCCACTATAGTCTTAGAACACAAGATAGGAAGAGTTACGAGTTGGGAATGACTCCCAGCTCCTACAAACCCCAAGAGCCGAGGTACAGTGATGTGGAACAGTGCCACACTGTCCCCAACCACGAAGGGTCTCGAAACTACCCTTCACTAGGGCCTACACCAAGTGAAATGTTACACTACACAAAGTAATGTAACTATCTTCAATATCTTGAGGTGTACCCTTTTGGCGAGCTTCGAAATCACTTGAGGCTTGACACCAAGGCTCGGGCTCTTCATCACAAACTCATCCTTGAGTTCTTGATGGGTCTGCTGCACACACCTGCAACACGCCGAACGTTTGACACAGGACAAAATAGAAACCGCGCACGACAAAATAGAAACCGCGCGCGAGACACAAACGACCGCGTAACACGCGTCTAGCGATAACTCACTATTGACTCGACACACACACTCGACATCATGACTCAACATTCACACACAATTATAAGCATGAAATATATATTATCCCATGCCCTCATACCATTCCATACACACACACATTCACGCACACGGACAACAAGCCGAGTGCAAACCGTAGGGTTGCACCAACAAGTGGTTGCGAATGGCTAAGCGGGCAGCAGCGTTGCGCGTCAGCCACTGTGAACGAGTCGCACTGTCAGCTGTGGCGGGAGGGGCGGGAGCGGTGCCAAACGTGTGGTCAAACAACGAAACACTGTCCCTAGAGTCGCTCAGCAGGTACAGATGCAGGTTGTCGAGCCACGTGTCGAACTGAATCGGTCTGCCCTCATGATCGAACGCAAGAAATCAAAGCGAGGCCATAGCGGTGCAGCACACAGGAGCAGCTGAGAGGGGCGGTAGTAGTAGCAGCAGTAGCAGCATTAGTAGTAGCAGCAGTAGAAGCAGCAGCAGTAGCAGCAGTAGCACGCAAGAAGCGGCTTGTGGGGCCTGGGGTCGACGGGCCGGGACCTAGGGGCGACGGGTCGGGGGCCTAGCGGCAACAGGTCGAGGGGCCAGGAGTGACGGGCCGGAGCCTAGGGTGTCAGAATATTACCTATGTATCTCTAGTCTGCAGTGGGGTACTCTGTAGTGAGTACAACCCTGTTAGGGTTTTCTATATGTATCCCAATGCTTTCTAGTGCAATCCATCCTTTTACACTTCAATTTCTCTCGTCAACATTCTCACATGGTATAGAGCAACTTTCGATCCTAAGGGCCCACCACGTCTTCAACTTTGTTTTCCTTACCTGCCCGAGGCGCGCGTCGCGCCTGCCCTTCGAGACCCCTTCGCGGTCCGTTAGGCCCCCTGCACGGCCCGTAGTGGCCCCCTTGCGGCCCGTAGAGGCCCCCTTGCGGCCCGTAGCGGCCCCCTTCGCGGCCCGTTAGGCCCCCGTCGCGGCCCCTTCGCGGCCCGTTAGGCCCCTTCTCGGCCCGTTAGGCCCGTCGCGGCCCGTTAGGCCTCCGTCGCGGCCCCTTCGCGGCCAGTTAGGCCCCTTCGCGGCCTCCTTTACGACCTGCAGCGGCCCCTTCGCGGCCCGTTAGGCCCGTCGCGGCCCCTTAGGCCCCCGTCGCGGCCCGTTAGGCCCCTTCGCGGCCCGTTAGGCCCCCTTCGCGGCCCGTTAGGCCCGTCGCGGCCCCTTTTCGCGGCCCGTTAGGCCTCAGTCGCGGCCCCTTCGCGGCCAGTTAGGCCCCTTCGCGGCCCCCTTTACGCCCGGTAGCGGCCCCTTCGCGGCCCGTTAGGCCCGTCGCGGCCCCTTCGCGGCCTGTCCCGGACCTGCCCCTACCCCGGCCCTGCCCCGACCCTGTTGCGGCCCCTCGTCGCGGCCCACCGTCGCGGCCCCCTGTTGCAGGGCCCCGTCGCGGCCCCCCGTATTGGCCCCGTCCCGGCCCTGTCCCGGACCTGCCCCGACCCCGGCCCTGCCCCGACCCTGTCGCGGCCCGTTAGGTCCGTCGCGGCCCCCCTTCGCGGCCCGTTAGGCCCCTTTGCGGCCCGTTAGGCCCCTTCGCGGCCCGCCCCGGCCCTTCCTCGGCCCCGTCCCGGCCCTGTCCCGGACCTGCCCCGACCCAGGCCCCGCCCTCATGCCGGTCGTGGCGCACCAGGGGCCCGTGCACCGCCCCCCCCGCGCGCCCCCCCCCCCCCCCGCTCGCCACGCAAGGCGACGGGAGGGGCGACCCGGGGGGGCGCGCGCCGCCCCTTCTTCCGCCTGCTCTGGCGCCCTGGGAGGCCGCGGGTCGGCCCCCGTACTCCTCCCCCCCCCCCCCCCCCCTCAGGTTGCCTCACCAGGCGACGGGAGGGGCGACCTGGTGGGGGGGGCCACGCGTCGGAGCAGCCGCCCCTGGTGCAGCCGCCCCTGGAGCAGCCGCCCCTGGTGCAGCCGCCCCTGGTGCAGCCGCCCCTGGAGCAGCCGCCCCTGGTGCAGCAGCCCCTGGAGCAGCCGCCCCTGGTGCAGCCGCCCCTGGTGCAGCCGCCCCTGGAGCAGCCGCCCCTGGTGCAGCCGCCCCTGGAGCAGCCGCCCCTGGTGCAGCCGCTCCTTGACCTCAGCAGCCGCCCCTGGCCCCTGGCCCCTGGAGCAGCCCCCCCCCCCCCCCCCTGCTGCGGGTACAGCAGTGGGGGGGGAGGGGATTTGCCATCCCCCTGCTGCGGTTGCGGCAGTGGGGGGAGGGGACCTGCAGCACCAACCCCCCCCCTCCTCTCCGCCCTTTTCTCCTCTCCCTCCCCCTGCTGCGGGTGCAGCAGTGGGGGGGAGGGGATCTGCCGTCCCCCTGGTGCGGTTGCGGCAGTGGGGGGAGGGGACCTGCAGCACCAGCCCCCCCCTCCCCCCCCCCCCTCCTCTCCGCCCCTTTTCTCCTCTCCCTCCCCCTGCTGTGGGTGCAGCAGTGGGGGGAGGGGATCTGCCATCCCCCTGGTGCGGATGCGGCAGTGGGGGAGGGTGTGGGGGTAGCGGGTGTGGCCAACCCGCCGGCCCTGCTGCGCCCCGCGCGCCCTGCTGCCCTGTGCGCCCCGTGCGCCTGCTGCCCTGCTGCCCTGTGCGCCCCGTGCGCCCTGCTGCCCTGCTGCCCTGTGCGCCCCGTGCGCCCTGCTGCCCTCTGCAAGCGCCATGCACAGCACCCCCCCCCCCCCCCCCCCCCCCCTCCTTCTCCTCCATCCCCTGCTGCAGGTGCAGCAGTGGGGGAGGGTATGGGGGTGGCGGGTGTGTGGCATCCCCTGCTCCTCCTCCTACTCCGTCTCCCACTGCTGCAGCTGCCGCTGAGGGGGGTGGGTGTGTGTGAGTCGACGGAGTGGTGCTAGGGGGTGGAGTGTGAGTGAACCTAGGGGTGCAGCAGGGGGTGTGTGAATGGGGGGTGCGGCAGTAGACGGAGGTTGGGTGGAGGTAGCCGTCGTGTTGCCAGCAGTGCCAGTAGTCCGGAGGTGCGCTTCCGGTAGCCCAGTGATGCCGCTGCGCCAGTCGCCCGTGGGTCCGTTGCTCCTGCCGCTCGTCTTAGCCGCGGAGCCAGTTACTCCTGTAGTCCGGAGGTGCGCCTCGGGTAGCCACAGTGCGAGCCGCTCCTGTTGCCCGTGTGTCTGCAGCTTCCGCCATTGCCCCCTCTCTCCTTTTCTATTTGTCCAGCCTCCTCCTCCTCACTTGCCCTCTGTGATAGCCTCTAGCTTTACTTATTTGCTGTGAACTATAAACTGTTGCTTCTTGTACTTGTGCTCAGAATGTGTGGTGACTTTGTGATCCACCCTGAGCTTGCTTTGCTTTGCTTGTTGTGCTGATCATACCCCACTTTGACTATGGGGGTGTGTCAGAATATTACCTATGTTTCTCTAGTCTGCAGTGGGGTACTCTGTAGTGAGTACAACCCTGTTAGGGTTTTCTATATGTATCCCAATGCTTTCTAGTGCAATCCATCCTTTCTCACTTCAATTTCTCTCGTCAATATTCTCACATAGGGGTCGAGCCGAACGGCTTAGGGGCGACGGGCCACGTGGCCTAGGTTTTGGGTGACAGGCCGCGGGGCAAGGGGCGAGGGGCTACGGCCGGGTCTAGGGGGGGGGTCGACGGGCGACGGGGCTCGGAGCTGGGGCCTAGGCTAGGGACGACGGGTCGCGGGGCCGCGGGGGGGGGGGGGGGGGGGGGGGGGGTCGAAGGGCGACGGGCCTCGGGGCCGGGGCCTAGGCTAGGGGCGACGGGCCACGGGGCCAGGGGCGACGGGCGAGGTTCGGGCCTAGGGGGGGGTGTTAGAATCTAGAGTGAACTTGGGCTTGGGAGCCATGGCGAGAGAGAGGAGCTAAGCATTGAATGTCGAGAGAGTTGAGTGTCGAGAGAAAAGGAATGGAATGATTTCACTAGCAAGAGTTGGGATACAAATAGCAAACCCTAAATTGGGTTGTACTCACTACAGAGTACCCCACTGCAGGCTAGACAGCAAATACAGTTGCTGGGTAGGGGCGACGAGGCCAGTTGGGCCGAGGGGCGCGGCTAGGTACGGGGCCGGGCGCTGGGCTAGGGACGGGGCCGGGAGCTGGGCAGGTACGGGGCCGGGCGTTGGGCGCGGAACGGGGCCGGGCGCGAGGCTAGGTACGGGGCCGGGCGCGGGCTAGGTACTGGGCCGGGCGTGGACTAGGTACGGGGCCAGGTGCGGGTCTAGGTACTTGGCCGGGCACGGGCTAGGTACGGGGCCGGGCGCTGGGCTAGGAACGGGGCCTTGCGCTGGGCAGGTACGGGGCCGGGCGCTGGGCAGGTACGGGGCCGGGCGCTGGGCAGGTACGGGGCCGGGCGCTGGGCAGGTACGGGGCCGGGCGCTGGGCAGGTACGGAGCCGGGCGCTGGGCAGGTACGGGGCCGGGCGCTGGGCAGGTACGGGGCCGGGCGCTGGGCAGGTACGGGGCCGGGCGCTGGGCACGTACGGGGCCGGGCGCTGGGCAGGTACGGGGCCGGGCGCTGGGCTGGTACGGGGCCGGGCGCTGGGCAGGTACGGGGCCGGGCGCTGGGCAGGTACGGGGCCGGGCGCTGGGCAGGTACGGGGCCGAGCGCTGGGCAGGTACGGGGCCGGGCGCTGGGCAGGTACAGGGCCGGGCGCTGGGCAGGTACGGGGCCGGGCGTTGGGCAGGTACGGGGCCGGGCGCTGGGCAGGTACGGGGCCGGGCGCTGGGCTGGTACGGGGCCGGGCGCTGGGCAGGTACGGGGCCGGGGCGCGGGCTAAGTACGGGGCTGGGCGCGGGCGTGATACGGGCCGGGCGCGGGCTAGGTATGGGGCCAGGTGCGGGCGACAGACGGGGCCGGGCATTGGGCGCGGAACGGAGACCGGGCGCGAGGCTAGGTACGGGCCGATCGCGGGCTAGGTACGGGGCCAGGCGCGGGGCTAGGAACGGGGCCGAGCGCGGGCTAGGTACGGGCCGATCGCGGGCTAAGTACGGGCCGGGCGCGGGCTAGGTACGGGCCGGGCGCTGGCGAGGGACGGGGCCGGGCGCTGGGCTAGATACGGGCCGGGCACGGGCTAGGTACGGGCCGGTCGCGGGGCTAGGTACGGGCCGGGCGCGGGCTAGGTACGGGCCTGTCGCGGGCTAGGTACGGGCCGGGTGCGGGCGCGAGACGGGGCCGGGCGCGGGCTAGGTACGGGCCGATCGCGGGCTAGGTACGGGCCGGGCGCGGGGCGACGGAGTCGACGGGGCCCGCGGGGCCGAGGGGCCGAGCTAAGGGCGATGGGGCCAAGGGGCCGAGCCTAGGGGCTAGGGGCGACGCCAAGGGGCGACGGGCCGGGGCCTAGGCTAGCAGGGCATTAGGTGGTGGGCCCATTGATGTGAGGTCCTAGGAACGACCTACTCTGATAGCATGTTAGAATCTAGAGTGAACTTGGGCTTGGGAGCCATGGCGAGAGAGAGGAGCTAAGCATTGAATGTCGAGAGAGTTGAGTGTCAAGAGAAAAGGAATGGAATGATTTCACTAGCAAGAGTTGGGATACAAATAGCAAACCCTAAATTGGGTTGTACTCACTACAGAGTACCCCACTGCAGGCTAGACAGCAAATACATTCTGACAGGGGGGTCGACGGGCGACGGGCCGAGGGGCCGGGGCCTAGGGTAGGGACGACGGGCCGCGGGGCCGTGGGGGGATCGACGGGCGACGGGCCTAGGGGCCGGGGCCTATGTTAGGGTCGACGGGCAAAGGGCCGCGGGGCCGGGGCCTAGGCTAGGGGCGACAAGCCGCGGGGCCAGGGGCGACGGGCGAGGGTCGGGCCTGGGGGGGTCGACGGGCGACGGGCCGCGGGGCCGGGGCCTAGGCTAGGGGCGACGGGCCGCGGGGCCAGGGGCGTCGGGCGACGGTCGGGCCTAGGGAGGTCGACGGGCGACGGGCCTCGGGGCCGGGGCCTAGGTTAGGGTCGATGGGCGACGGGCCGCGGGGCCGGAGCCTAGGCTAGGGGCGACGGGGGTCGGGGCCTAGGGGGGGGGTCGACGGGCGACGGGCCTCGGGGCCGGGGCGACGGGCCTAGGGCGACAGGTCGGGGGTCGACGGGCCAGGGCAACGGGCCGGGGCGACGGACCTAGGGCGACGGGCCTAGGGTCGACTGGTCGTGACGCGCAGGATGGGCAGCACGAGGGCTGCAGAGTGCGGCTAGCGGGGTAGCGCTTTGGTGGGCCCAAGGAAAAAAAGCGGTCCTAGCGGAGGACCTGCTCTGAAACCATGTCAGAATAATGAACGAGAGTGAATGAACTAGCAAAGAGTTGGGTACAAGTACTAACCCTAATTGGGTTGTACCCCTTATGGGCTACCCCATTATAGCCTACACAATATAAGCTATACAACATTTTGACAGGAACCACAAAACAGAGGGAGGACAAACCAGCGCACCTGGAGTAGCCGTTCGTCCTCGCCTCGAAGGAGTGAAAGCCCCAAATGTGACAACCAAGGGTCAAAACAGCAAGGGGCAGCTGGGGGAGACAACAAACACACCGTTACATGCGTTGCAACGGTTCGTCGTCGCAAGCAACTTTACCATCAGCCGGAGGATCGATATGGTTGCTGGACAGCGGATGCAGCCAACACATGACTTCAGAAAAACGCTGGTTTGAGGGTCTAGAGGAGCTGGACACACATGTATACGTGGAGCTGGCTGACGGCAGCCAACTGCTGAGCTCGATGGTGGGGACAATTAGAGCAACGGCGCCCGATGGAACAACGGTCCACTACACCGACGTGCTCTATGTCCCCGTTGTCAATTGCACAAGAAGGGAGCACGGATTTATACACATGCTGACGGGCACACGGAAATTACCATGGCAGTTGGGGATGAGCATGTAAGGATTGGACTTGGAATGACCATGCATGGAGTGCTCATGGTGCAATATGAACCTGCACTGACATCTGTCCATGAATCCGACCATGACAATAACGATGCTGCATCAAATGACCATGGTCATGGAGGGCTTAATGCACATTCTGCTCAAGCATCCATCACGTACCGCATGGCCCACAAGCGCTTCGGTCACCCATCATACTCATCCATGGATGCCACATTTCGGATTGGAGATGTTGAAGGACTCTCCATATTCGACAAGACAAACCCCCTCAAACCCCCATGTGACTCATGTCTACGAGGGAAGATGAGCAAGGCCCCATTTCCCACAGGTGGCGACAAGCGCACAACTCGACCTTTGGAGCTCGCGCATAGTGACATCATGGACTTGGGTGACGCTCACCCCTCACTTCGCTATGTGCTGACGCTCAAGGACGACTACACCAACTACCTGTGGGTGGCGCCATTGGCTCAGTTCAGACATGGCAGCTGTTTTCTCGGCTTGGCATTGCGAGATGAAGACCAAGCTGCCCACGAAGCCGCTGGCCGCCTTGCGCACGAACAACAGAGGAGAATATACAGCAAATGCTTTCACAGATTACCTGAGTTCTCATGGCATCGCCCATCAAACGTCCTTACCCCACACACCGCAGCAGAATGGAGTCGCCGAACGGGTCAACCACACACTCATGGACCGAGTGCGGGCAATGACCAACGGAGCCAGCCTTTCTTCTAAGTTCTGGCCTTATGCGCTGGAGTATGTAGCATGGCTACACAACCGTATCAGCTGCAGAAGCAACCCATCGGCACACTCATCGTACTTCATGATGACGGGAATGGCAGCAGATGTCTTAATGGCAAAGACCTTTGGCTGCCTCTACTACTATCTCCCTCCCCAATGCAGCTTCGGGAAGTTTGAGCAGAGAGGTCGGCCAGGCATGTTTCTCGGCCTTTCTAACTCACAAAAGGCATGGATCGTGCGGGACTTGGCAAGCGACATTGACACAGACACACGCTCAGCTCGCTTTTTTTATGACCTCATGTTGCCGGACGCTAAATCGGCACTCGAACGCCAACGCTACTTGGAAGAATTCTCACCGCACATTGACGGCTGGACTTCAGGGGGAGAAGGCTTTGGGTCCGAGTTGACTCCTTTCCCGCATCCCCACCATCGCCTACATCGCCACGGACACCTCAACCACACAAGGACAGGAAATTGACGCAAATCAAGAGGACTCACCTATTGACGACGCAGCCGAAACAAGAGAAGGAGCTGCAGCAAGTGACTTACCTCCAGCAGGCGTCTCTGTTCCTTCTGTTCCTGAAGTTGCTGAAGGCAGCGAAATGGAGAATGAGGCAAGTCATCTCTATAACTTTGCCTTTCCACCTGATGGGATCAAGCTGGCAGCTCATGACGCAACTCCACGGCGGGTTCACTTCAACCCAAATGTGACTGTGCTCGGAGGAGAAAGACAAGGGACAGACAGCATGACAGGACTGGACATGCTGTTTGGGAAACGGTAGGCAGCACAAGCGTTCAACAACCTTCCCAACTTGCAGCAACACGTGCTAGGATGTGCAGCAACTGGCGTCCCCATGGTGGACTTGACGTAAGAGGCAAGGGAAGCTACCTACCTTTGGCGCTTGTATGAAGACCTCGGTTTCCCACAGCAAGAACCAACTGTCATCTTTGTGGACAATCAAAGTGCAGTTGCACTTGCAACCGGGGAACAAATGAGTCACCGCATTAAGCACATGGAAGTGCGTTACCATTGGACGTGGAAGGCCGTTCATGATGGTGTTGTGCGGCCAGAGTACTGCCCAACAGCTCAGCAAGCTGCAGATTATCTCACCAAGCCTATCACAGCAAAGCAACATCTCACCTGCAGCCTCTTGTGTGGTCTCCAACGGATTCCACCTGGAGCACCGTCTGCAACCAGTCAGCAGATTGAAGACGCTGGAGTTGCACTCACATGTACGGGCTTCACGTAACTCCACATGTCTCACTCGTGTGTTTGGTGCTGTGTGCGTACTCACACGTATACATGACAACAAACCCACGAGTGAGAGGGGGAATGGGGTGTAGAGTACCTTGGGCTGCAACAAAAGAAGAGTTGGGAGATCATTTTCATTTTCATTTTCATTCTTCAGGTCACACACGAAGACAAGTATCAGGATGAGCCCTACTGCAATACACAGGGAAGCAGCCGCAGCCGAGAGCTTCTGTGCTAGATGGTCGCAGCTGCTGACTTGAGTCGCCAATGTCGCTGGATGATACAAAGCACCTGCTGGTTTCAAGGGGAGTGAAGAAAGACAACAGTGGTGTGAGTCAAAGTTTGTAGCAACTTCAATGGTGCAACACTCAAATATGCATTCAAGACAGGACAACACAAGGCAAGAGAAGAAAGCTGGAAGTTTTCCTCACCATGGTGCTGCAGGGCGCCAAGCGCTGGAGCTGCTGTTGCCTTCCAGGAGCCGCTGGTGCAGCTGCCATAAGCCATCTGCTGCAGCTGTCAAGCGCCATCAGTTGCTCTTGAGAGAAACCAGCTGCTGGGGACCAGGAGCTGCCGCCGCTGCTGCCATGCTGGTGTAGCCGTCCACCTCTGCTGCAGGTCGTCAGGGGGAGCTGCTGCAGCCTGCCAGGTTCAGGAGCAGCCCGCCGGGTGCTGCCGCCCACCAGGTGCTGCTGTCCGTCAGGTGCTGCTACTCCAGCGCGCCACCTGGGGAAGGGGGGAGCAGCACAGGGTAACATGAAGACAAACCTCATGCATCCTTCCGCGAGGGAGAGTGCAACGCTTGCACAAACAAGTCAAAACTAGAAGGAGAAGCCTCACCTAGGCCGTCACTGCTGTCGCCGCTGCATCTTGTCTACCATCTGTTGCTGCCACCAGGTGCTGCCGTCGCCGTTC